CCCACCCCCCTGCCTGCCTGCCTGCCTGCCTGCCTGCCTGCCTGCCTGCCTGCCTGCCTGCCTGCCTGCCTGCCTGCCTGCCTGCCTGCCTGCCTGCCTGCCTGCCTGCCTGCCTGCCTGCCTGCCTGCCTAAACACCTACACGCAAACTCGTACGCATCCACGTACACATACACGTGCACATACACATACCCACACACAGAATGTATGTATATATGTATATATATATATACACACACATATATACACATGTATATCTATACTATACGCACACATCTTTACTCCATCCCGGTCTTGATGAACTGCGAAACCCCCGATGCTCCCGAATACCCTGCCAATCTTAGCTCAGGAGCGTTCCTTCAGCAAGCCCAGGTGATTGAGAAGAGAGGTGCACACTTTATCCTGGCAGTGATGGCAGAACAGTTGATTTCGCACGTTTAGCTGGTTTTGGTCACCTCTGACCAAAACTCTGCAGGCCATGTTCACTTCTAGCACTGACGCAAAACAGTACCTGTGGCAATTCGAAAGTCTTGCCTCTACCCGCCGCAAGCCGTCACAGTAAACTGTAGATCCCGCATCCCAAAATCCTATACACTGACTGTACCCCACCCTAAACCCTAAACCCTGAACTCTAAACCCTAAACCCTAAACCCTGAACCCTAAAAACTAAACCCTAAACCCGAACCCTGAGATCCCCAAAAACTCTTACCCGTGAAGCCCTAATGCCGAAACCCAACCCCTGAGTGCCAAAGTGTACACCCTACATCAACCCTGGATCTTTAGGTTTTAGGTTTTAGGTTTTAGGTTTTGAGGGTTTAGGGCTTAGGGCTTAGGGTTTAGGGTTCAGGGTCTAGTAATGTAGGGGCCTAGATAATTACCTAAATTATTTTTGTTGGGGGGGGTTCCTTCTTATGATTATAGTATAATGGGCCCCAAAACCCTAGTCTAATCATTAAGGCCCCTATATTACATCACCCTAAGGAAACGCCAGGAAGAAGATGAAGGGGCATTGGCTGTAAAACCCATATATCCTGAACCCTAAACCCTACGAACTCAAACTATGACTTTCGGTGAACAAAGAGGTCCTACTGTTGATGGACAAAACTCTGCATGACCCAAATATAGTATAGTACCATAAATCCCATAGTTTAGGTATATAAGGTAATGCAGGATTTGGTCCATCAGCCGTAGCAGAGATCCTAGAGTGTAACGTCCTGAGAACCAGGATGCCCCGGATGAGGTATGTTTAGGGTTTAGGGTTTAGGGTTTAGGGTTTTGGGTATCCTTCCGCTTGAGGGACCCGCCTAAACCTCACCCCACCAGAAGCCTGAGCCTGCTAAGCAATTAGATCACCTCTTATGTATTTATTGGTATGTATATTTACACACACATACATACGTAAATCAATAGAAATGTAAAGATAATAGGTATAAATATGTATATATATATATGTATATATATCTATGCTCGCGGGGCTGACCATATATATATATATATATGTATAGAACAGGTGTACATACATACATACGGACATACATACATGTGTATACACCTATCAAACCCCGTCTGCCTGTGCAGCACCAGCCCCCTCTCTCCCCCAACGCCTGCGAGTTGGCAGAGGCTACAGCCATGCGCCAATTGCACTCCTGTGGCTCAGCGGAACCCTAAGGGTCCAAGTACCTAATAATCATATACTCTTCTGAATACTAACCTACAAAACTAGTATGGGGGTTTCCGAAAATAGGGGACCCTAATATAGTACCCTAATTAATAGGATCCCTATTATAAGGACCCCAAAACAAGGTACCCTAATTTTCGGAAACTCCCATATCGCCAACCCGAGTACATGACTATTAGGTCCTTTGGACCCTTAGGGAAAGCTACGAAGGGCCTACTTTGGGTGTTCGGCGTTTAGGGGCTTGCGGTTTTTCATTGCTCTTTGGACCTTCTGGGTTTCTTCGGGGCTTTATAGGGTTTAGGGTTTACAGTAGG